TGTCAAAATGCCCATCTTGGCGAGTATCCAGTTAAAGGCAGTCAGTTTTGGAATGTTAAATAGTTGAGAAAGAGAACGCATGTTGTGTATATTGGGTGTTAATTACATTACATTACATACACAGTATATTGGGTCCGTGGATAAACTCTTAAAGGGACCGCAGTCCAATATTTCTGCTGCTGTCTGTCATGTTAATCAAAGAACAAAAGACAAAGAAAATCACTTTCTGCTCTTGACTGAATACGTTTTATAACTTTAATGGTAAGCATTAATCTGTATTTATTTTTTACAATGAACTGGATGTGTTATTTTACTTTTAATTGGCATATTTAATATTTTAATATTTTTTTATTAAATTATTACATTTATTTAATATATCGAATATTTTTTGAAGTACACTGAATTCTTGCAAGTAGTGTTCTACTTTGTAGAGTATAGTCAAGTACTGCATAATATTTCAGGAAAGGATATTTGACGATTATTAGAGTTGAGGATCAACAGTGATTTTTTTTTTTTTTCCATTCAATTCCACTTATAAATCAGCATGTATATCGAACTGTATATAATAATAATAATAATAATAAATTAAATCTGTAGCATTTTGGTTTTATTGTATTTTGTGATTTCACTGAATTTCCTATAACATTTGTCCCTTTTGCATTTTCGGCCTGTAGTAGGCCGAAAATGCAAATGCTATATAATTAAGTCAGCTTTTGCAAAAAATGCATCAACAAGCCAGCATTCTGCCTCCCAGCACCCTCTTGTGTATTTACATGGACTATCTATAGTAACGATCAGCTGTTAGATTATGTGGACAGAACAGCGAAGGCAGTATCCTGAAATCACCATTGAAATGTCTGCCAGGAGTCAAACTCTGAATGTGTGTCATTGACATGATTGTCCAAAGGTTGTGCATATTAGGGGTGTGCGATATTGACAAAAAAAAAATATATAAGGATTTTATCGATAACTATTAGGGCTGGGCGATATGGGCAAAAATTCATATCTCTGTATTTTTTGGCTGATTTGCGATATACGGTATATATCTCAAATCTATTTTTTTTATTTCGTTTTGTATTTTCGTTTTTGTATTTGGATTAAATTTTTTTTATTTAATATATATTTCACTTACTGCCCAATGTTGTCCAACAAAATACATATTAAAGGCTATGAAAAGAAATAAAGTGAATGTAACATGTAAGCCTTTATATTATGTGCAAAAAAGGGTTAAAATCACATTTCATTCTAACATTGTAACATTGCAATCTAAAAACAAAAATATGGCTTTTAAAGCAGAAGTTAAATTCACTAGTTTTGTTAGGCTATTTTGATTACCCCATTACAGTCACTTTACAGTCAGTGCTATCATAAATAGACTTACTTGTAGGTTTAAAATTCTACATGTCACATTTATTGTCCAACTACAAATATATCAGCGAAATGTATATTTTAGTCAGAATTATTGCGCTCCTATTTAATTTAGCTCTCTCTGTTTGGCGCGCATGCGCTCGGTGGTGCTCGTTCACTGATGTCAGTGAAGCTTAGCGGAGAATAGCAAAGCAGAAGTCTCATGCACTTCTGACAGAAAAATGGAAATATTTCCATGGCTTTCTAACATTTACAGATGGAGAATATACATGTGAAGTGTAAGTTATGCATTCAGGAAGACCGCACATCTCAAACACATTAAACAGCGCGAGTAGTGTCTCTGTCAGCGGCACACGCAGCCTTTCTGTCAGAGCATATGACGGGCCGAGCCGCTTAAACTAATATGTGAAACGAAACTATAAAATATGTCTTACCCGTTTTTAAAGGCCTTAATATGAAGCTCGTCACGTTTAGAACAAATTGGATTATGCACTTTTTCCGCAGCAGCTCAGTCTGTGTCCTCCGCTATATTTTCAGATGAGCTTGTATCAAACTACTGTATATCGATATAAACCATATTGCCTCATATCGAATCACTTATAAAGAAAATATCGATATATTGTACAAACTCGATATACTGCCCAGCCCTAAAAACGATACTTAGACGTAGTGCTGGGGCGGTATGACCAAAAATTTATATCACGGTATTTTTCAAAATTATACCGGTTTAACGGTACATGATGGTATTATTTTTTTTCATACATGACCAGGTGTTAACCATATTTTCTACTGATTGAGAGAGGGTATATATCTCAAATCTATTTTTTTTATTTCGTTTTGTATTTTCGTTTTTGTATTTGGATTAAATTTTTTTTATTTAATATATATTTCACTTACTGCCCAATGTTGTCCAACAAAATACATATTAAAGGCTATGAAAAGAAATAAAGTGAATGTAACATGTAAGCCTTTATATTATGTGCAAAAAAGGGTTAAAATCACATTTCATTCTAACATTGTAACATTGCAATCTAAAAACAAAAATATGGCTTTTAAAGCAGAAGTTAAATTCACTAGTTTTGTTAGGCTATTTTGATTACCCCATTACAGTCACTTTACAGTCAGTGCTATCATAAATAGACTTACTTGTAGGTTTAAAATTCTACATGTCACATTTATTGTCCAACTACAAATATATCAGCGAAATGTATATTTTAGTCAGAATTATTGCGCTCCTATTTAATTTAGCTCTCTCTGTTTGGCGCGCATGCGCTCGGTGGTGCTCGTTCACTGATGTCAGTGAAGCTTAGCGGAGAATAGCAAAGCAGAAGTCTCATGCACTTCTGACAGAAAAATGGAAATATTTCCATGGCTTTCTAACATTTACAGATGGAGAATATACATGTGAAGTGTAAGTTATGCATTCAGGAAGACCGCACATCTCAAACACATTAAACAGCGCGAGTAGTGTCTCTGTCAGCGGCACACGCAGCCTTTCTGTCAGAGCATATGACGGGCCGAGCCGCTTAAACTAATATGTGAAACGAAACTATAAAATATGTCTTACCCGTTTTTAAAGGCCTTAATATGAAGCTCGTCACGTTTAGAACAAATTGGATTATGCACTTTTTCCGCAGCAGCTCAGTCTGTGTCCTCCGCTATATTTTCAGATGAGCTTGTATCAAACTACTGTATATCGATATAAACCATATTGCCTCATATCGAATCACTTATAAAGAAAATATCGATATATTGTACAAACTCGATATACTGCCCAGCCCTAAAAACGATACTTAGACGTAGTGCTGGGGCGGTATGACCAAAAATTTATATCACGGTATTTTTCAAAATTATACCGGTTTAACGGTACATGATGGTATTATTTTTTTTCATACATGACCGGGTGTTAACCATATTTTCTACTGATTGAGAGGGGAAATACTGCAGTATATTGACTTAGAATGCCCTATTTTACTGTCATGATGATTGAATATTGTCAAAAAATACCACACTAAATAGTGACTAAACACGACCCCTTTTAATACATGTTAACCAGGAGTCACTCTCATTTATAATCGCGGCATCGTCTGATAAAATCAGCATGCATCTACACTAAAGAGCGGCTAATGTTGTTTAAGCGACATACACCGGTATTGCGGTATTTTAAAAATTCATATCATAACAAAAATGAACACCGGTATTCGGTATGAACCGGTATACCGCCCAGCACTACTTAGACGATATTTTGCTGAGTGTGTTATTGTGCTGATATCTTAAACTGACTCCTACAGTTTTTGATATTCTTCATATTCTGTGTGGTCGTCAGTTCACACTGATAGAAATGAATCTTTTTCAATGTTTAAATTGATTTTTACCTTTTATGGGCATTTTTACCTTTATAAAGCCATTTTTTCTAAAAGTGTGCATTAGGCATATCTTTTGAGTCGAATTCTTACATTTAATCAGTGGATTAGAATAATAAGACATTTGGGCTGTTACAAAGCAAGTGAAATTCATCTTTGCAATGCAGAGGAAACGCAGAAGCTGCATCTGAAGTAGCATTTAGATGTGTTTTCACACTAGGGTTGTGACGGTGAGGAAATTTCCCCACCGGTTAATCGACGTGTAACAACATCGATAATACCAGTATCACCATGGGGAGGTTCCCTCTTTTTCTCGCTTTCCTTCGCTTTTCAATAGCTTGTAAAAACAGGGTGCGCATTTGAATTTAGCTGCAATTTGGTGTAAAGCAATTGTTTAGTTTTAGTTCATTTGAGTTTTCCTCGCTTTCCTTTGCATAGCTTAAAATCGCCGTGTGCATTTTACTTTCACTTTTGAACTAGCGGCAATTCTGCGTCAGTTGCTTGAAATCAATTCAAGCAACAACAAAATACGATGTCAAACTCACTTAGCCTATATATAAATGATAGAACTTTTATTAACAAAACGAATAAAAATACAACATGTTATAGGCTATGTCTAATGTAAAATAACAAATAACTAACGCAGAGTTTAAATAGGTAGGCCTATACAAAACTGAAAATCAGCAAACACTGTGGAACCAAATAAATAAGAAACGTAGAATGTTTATTAACAAAATGAATAAGAAGGCTTGGAGGCACGGCATACACCTTGATGTGAAATAAAATAAATGAATAAATTTCACAAAGTTTAAATAAAGTAAAAAATCAGCAAACATTGTGGAACCAATTAAATGAGAAAAGAATGTTTAAACTTACAAAATCACCTTAGATAAATGGCAAAAGTCAACAGGCTTTTCAAAATCCAAAATATTGCCAAACAGGCGCTTTTGCATGTAGTTTCAAAACTAAATCATCCACTATCGTCTTGTCTTTCTCACCTCACTCTTCTTGTCAGTCAGCTCGACTCACTATTAAAAATCAAAACGACGGTGGCGGGCGGTGCCACGGTGTTCAAGTGATGTAACTGGTGTTGTGGCTTAACACCGGTAACATCGTCAACACCGTTTATTGCAGCAAGCCTATTTGCACACTGTTTAATGCAGGACATGAATGCATTTAACCTGCAGTTACAAATGCATAAGTAATGTTTTGGTATATTAAACATTAAAACGTTGAATACTGATATTTGAAATTTAAATAATAAAAAGATACTTTAAATGTGAAATTAAAACCGCCAGTAGGTGGCAGCAAGTCACTGGTAATAAGTGAGTCATTGCGATTGAACCGAATCATTTAATTCGGTTTTCAATTCATTCAGGAACAAAACACTGTCATGTTGCTCAGAAACGCAAAACAGTGCTGTGCCGGTGTTTGGAATTAGTTTTGTTGTCGAAATAGAGGAAAAACAGGCAATAAGGCAAAATTAACTTCTTGTTTATTGAACTGTTGTAAAAAATCAATATCACATTTGTAATCATGCTGACTTTTGGAGAAAAAAACGGCACTCTTTGTGTGAAATTGATTAACTATATGCAGTGGTATAAATATATACATTTTCTGTCTTGAATTTGAGATTATTCTAAATGTATTTTATTAGACTGAAACATGCAGTGAAAGAACGCATTGTAAATGCACTTCATGTAATGTATGCGCGCACCCTGTTAGGTGTGTTTTGAATTTTTGCAAAATACTCGATAATGTCAAATCACACATCGTTAAAACAGCAATTACAATATTATTGAAGACGATATATATTGCACACCCCTAGACCATACCTTCTTTTTTGTGTGCAAAAGGCCTTTGTGTGTTGCTGGTGTAACGATTCTGACACACAATCATGTAAATCACATGAAGCGTTATCTACCAGGACACACCCTTAAGGGACATCTGTAGACACTTCATTCAGTCACTCTCTGTCCTGTGATATTGCATCGATATTTCAGCTTCTTGTAACAGTTTTAAAAATGTGTTCATTTTATTTAAATGAATGAATGAGTGATTGTCTGAAGCAGAAAGAAACCAGTGTTTTTCAGTCACTAAGAGACATGCTATTGGACCTTAAATCTTTCACACGGTTTGTATTATGTCTTTTGAGCATGTCATTTGTATTGAGTGTTATATTTGAAATATCTGCCTTCAGGTATTGTATGTCAGGTTTGTATGTCAGGGTCAGAAATCAATGGGTGCTTAGTGAAAAAATTAGTCCAAAAATACCCACCAAATTCAAGCTAAAAAGGGGCAGAAATTAAACTTGTATTCTTGTGATCAACATCAATAATCATTATTAGAATATCATGGGCAATAATCAACAATGACTTTACGCTAACATGCATAATAAGCTGCTGTTTTTACTCTTGATATGCTTTATAGGATGTTAAAAATTAATCTCACAACATTATGAAATTGTTAATACATTAATTCCTTTTCTAAACCGCATTAAACATAAATACCATTTCAGATGCAGCTTATGCACCACCTTTGCAGTGTAAAGGCCTGTTCACACCAAGGACGATAACTATAAAGATAACGATAAAGACATAGTTCTAAAAATCATTCTCAATATTAAAGAATAGCAGAGTCCAAACCACAGCTATAACGATAAAAGCACAGAGAAACGATATCGTTGGACTCACTTTCAGGACGATTTTTTCCAGCTGATGAACGATACGAACTTTGACACCCAATCAGAATCCATCCTGCTATAATGAGCTCGAGAATTTAAAGTGGCAGTTGAGTGTGCATTTAGAATAAACAGACGATATTGCTAATATGCTAATATCTGTGTCTTTATAGTTATCGTTCTTGGTGTGAACAGGGCTCAAAGATGGCTTTTGCTGATGCTGATTACATTTTATTGGTAACAGCCTGTACTTTTCTGATTGAGTGATTGATTGGTTAATTAAATTAATTGATCACATTTAAGTATTTGACATAAGACAACACAAATACAACAGATTTGATAAGTTAATTATAAAAATTGCCCTTAGAAAACATTTGCCTTTAATGGAAAAGTTATTTTCTGATGCTGATGTGAGTGTATAAAGTATGTTTATTCAAAATAGGGGTGTGCCGGTACGAGTATCGATACCGAATGGTTCACGAGGCAAATTCCAAATGGAAGTGATCATCCCTATCCCCTTGGAGTGGGGACTTTGGAGTGAGCAGGGCACGCGCGTACCATTATGTAGTTGTTTGGAATGCACTTGGCAAAGGGAGCGACGTAATTTCCTCATTATCTTCAGCTGGCATGTTCCCGTGACAACGCAGCACGGTGTCTGTCAGCAGATTCGCTGTTTTACTGTCTTAAATGTATTTTTATTGTTGTTAGCATAACTTGCAAATAAACATACATTTTATATTTTAAAAAGTTTTTAAAATATGCTATATAATATATAAAAACTAATATATATAAAACTTTCAAATATAAAATGAATATTTTTTTTATGCCGGTGTGCATCAGCGAATCTGCTGACGGACACCATGCTGCTTTGTCACGGGAACATGCCAGCTGAAGATAATGAGGAAATTACATCGCTCCCTTTGCCAAGTGCAGTGGTGTATAAA